TCAGGAACTAGCTGTGGGTCTAGATACGGCCGAGGCGGTGAGGAAGTGGGGGCAAGTTTGTGTGACAACGGAGGGACATGAAGGCCAAAAAGGATCCAGGATCCAGGTGGAAAAAGGGTCCCAGCGTTCTCGCGCACCTCGATCTTCTAGCTGCTCCATCTTCACCAGTCGATTTCCACAATGGCGGTCAGACAAACAAAATAAGCCGGTAAGGAACCCAACAGGAAATACGCATAGAGCAGATGGAGAATTGACCAATCAGTGGCTAATTTATAATCAGAAACCAGGTTTAGCTGTAGGTGACCCAGGGGCGTAGCCAAAACATTTTTATAAGGGTGGCCAGGCAATAACCAATGTACACTGAGGGGTGGCCTAAAGTGCATCGGTGCCAGAACCTCAGGATCAATCTTTTTTTAATGAGCACAAGATCAAATGTTCTAAATAAAGACAAAATATCCTTTCCTATAGCCTTTGCTAACAAATAGACGAAAATATTTCAACATCTTCCTAGATAAAAGGTATAGTGGATACATTTCTTTCAGATTTGAGTTCTGGGGCGAACATCTTTTCCTTTGTCATTAGTTACAATTACTAATCATTTTGCCAAATAATTATATTTACAAATACTAATATCTACATAAATTGATTATTTAATACGTTTTTATTAAAATGGTTATCTACTATTTAACTGAATATTCCAATATGACTTGCAGAGAAACATATTTTTCTCTTTACCCCATTTAATGTCAGTATATTGATGTGCAAAATTAACCAGTGTCAAGTAAATGTTAATGTATGAAAAACTAAAATTTTTTGAATATTCTACTTGAGAGTATTACTGTTGCCACTGTCTGTATTAGAGGGGGAAAAAATGGTAGGTGTGGCCACAGGGGTGGCCAATGATTGGCTTAGGGGGGCCATGTCTACCTCTGGCCCCCCATCTAGCTCCGCCCCTGAGGTGACCGCAGGTAGGAGGTCTCTGATTGGCAATCAGCTAGTTCCTGATTGTCTGTCTTGCGTTGTGGAGTGAAATAACATAGCGCAGACCACGCTTCAATATTGGGCAGAAATCAAAAATATCTGAGATAAGCTCACTGCGACACACTGCTGAGGGAGGATAACCAGCCTTTAAAGTCGTAGGGAAGCGGCTGTTCCAACCGTTGCATTTCCGAATTCTTGGTGTACGACATTACACGAGTGAATAATGTGAATGTGATTGGTCGATTATCAAGGGGGCGGGATTGTTGTGGCAGAAAGTTCTCAAGCAAGTTTGGTTGTGGCCGGTTTGTGGGAAGCATGTTGCTAACCAGTTAGCAACTTAGTGCTAGCAGGTTCCCAATGGGAAATTCCATTGGGACCAAGTAGCACTAAATTGGTGACTTAGAAACGACGCTGTCAAGGAACGCTATGGACAGCGGAAACATGCAAGACGAGGAGAGTTTAGTGTCGGAGGTCGTGGATGAGTCTCCTCCGTCATCCATTTTTTATTTAGAGGAGGAAAGCGGGGACGAAGATGTTGTGGAAGAGGACGCCAGGGCGGCAGAAGCTTGGTTTGGTGTAGAAGGCTTCCAGCCGTACATGTTTGAGCCCTTGCCTCGCAACGCTGCCAGTTCTGTTAGCTCTACGCCTGCCGAAGACACAGACGTCCATCCCCGTGAACACTGGGACGCAACTCAATGGGAAAGGAAAGGATTCTGGTTTCAACCGTTGCGTATATTAGCTGCGACAGATGAATCAAGATGCTATGACCAAAAACATTTGATTGACAGATGAGCGTTGATATATGATTGGCCGAATTTAGGTGTTCAGGCTGACGTAGAACTAACTGGCCTGCAGAAGATAACGGAAAAACAAAAAACAGACAATATGGTCTGATAAAGAGAACATTTATATACATATTTAAGCCAGAATGATTTGACATTTAAATATGACTTCCATACAACTTTAAGTGTCCAATATGAATGTCTTTCATGGGACCTCAAAATCCTGGCGGCCCCCTGTTTTAGACTGTGCTGATGTGGAGTTTTGTTTTAGCAGATCCCCTTTGCTAATTAAACTACTAACTTTCACATTCAAGTAAAATTTATTTTGCTTTCACAAAAAAAACTAAACAAAAAACAGACAAACCAACTTTAAAAATGATCAGAGCCACAAGTTTGAATCCAGTTTGCCTGTTTTTTTACCATGTAGAGGGCGCCCTTCCTCTTGTTGGAGGTGTCCACCTTGTCATCATCCGGAGTGCTGGGAGCAATGGCAGATTTGGGTCCAAGGGCCTAAAAAAACCCAAGCCAAATATTATATAGCTGTTTTTATCCTGGTTAGTTCAGGCTGCAGAGCCACAAACCTTCGTCAGATCTAAATAAAAACAGATGAATCCAAAATGTTTTCTAGTTAGTCAGCCCGTTTCCATGTAAAGGAAGTGTTTACAGATTCACCGTGACAAAGTGCTGGCACAGAGACAACAGACGGCTTTGTGTCCATCCGTTCCCACGCTGACTAACTTTAATTACACAGAAAGATCCTGTTTGAGGCTTCAATATGATGCGGTTCTGCGGGAAAAGAGAGAAATCGTTGTTTTTTTTTTTACCTCTATGATTTCCGAAGGCTCGCTGCCCTCCTCCACCATGTGCACTTTGGCTCGCCCATTTCTTTCATTATCCCTGATGTCAATGGCCACCTGGGAGGCCTTGAGGCGCTCAAAGCGGTTACACTCGCTGCCGCACCACTGATACACGTCCTGCAAGAGGAAAAGAAGAAAATGAATCTTATAAATCCTGTGATGAAAGGAGGTAATGGACCTGCAGCTGTAGCTTCATTTTGGACACGGGGTCAACAGGTTTTTGTCTACATGGACAAGCCAATACCCTCTAACAGTGACCTAAAAAAGTATTTACGACCTTAATGAACAATTTTATTCAATTTCAGTTCAATTCAGTTTATTTCTATAGCTCCAATTCACATCATGTCATCTCAGGTCACTTTAAAGTTCAGCAGATCATCCAATCAGATTGATTCAAAGTTTTCTAACTAAGGAAAACCAGCTGATTGCATCGACTCATTGAATTGAAGGCAATCCCTCACATTAAGCACGCTTGTAGCGACAGTGGAGAGGAAGAACTCCCATTTAACAGTAAGAAACCGGCAATCTGCATACAGAAAGCAACTGTAAAAGGCGACCCCATCCAGGAAACACAAAGCCAGGCAGATATAATTGCGAATTGAATGAAAAGTGTGATGTTTTTAGGGATAAAAATTTGAAAAGGGGGGTTTTAAAGCTCTGCTATCTTTATTCCACCTTATTCTAGCCAACTAAAATAAAAAGCTAATTTTTCTAAGGGAGCTCTGGACAGGCGGCAGCTAATCTTACGCTACGTTCAGACCGCAAGCAGCAGAAGCAGCAGATGCAGGTAGTTTACATGCAAAGTCAAAGGTTGAGGCGTATCAAGGTGCAGCAAAAGGTCCTGAGGAAGTTGGCTCCCTACGTTCTTCAAATCAGACAAAATTGGTGTCAAATGTTTGTGCTGGTTTGTGCAGCAATCGTTTTAAAGATATAAAGAAAGGTTTCTAGAGGTCATCAAAGGTCAACCAGCCCCCCCACCTTCTTCAAATCAGACGAAATGGGTGTCAATTAACTCAGCTCCGTTTGTGCTGCTTTGGCTTTGAAGATTTGAAGAAGGCGGGGGGGGCTGGTTGACCTTTTCACCTTTACATTTTCATTAATATCTTCAAAGCCAAAGCAGCACAAATGGAGCTGAGTTAATTGACACCCATTTCGTCTGATTTGAAGAAGGTGGGGGGGCTGGTTGACCTTTGATGACCTCTAGAAACATCTCTTTATATCTTTAAAATGAAAGCGGCACAAACGAAAATTTTTGCTGCACAAACGTTTGAGAAAACTCCTTTAGCCGCCACTGGATCAGAGTTAACTGTTTGACCACGATCTGAGCTTGAATCACACTTTTATTTGTGTTCTAACACACAGCCAGGTTACGATTAAATTAAGCTTAGCATTTAACTGCACAACACACTGAAGCTACCTGCAGAAATAAAAGGATATCCATCTTATCCAGCTTTCAGTGAATCAGCTCATTCCTCATAGAGCTGTAGTATCAAAACCCATCTGGATTTGAGCAGGTAGAAAAGGCGTCTTACCTTTCCTAGGTCAATGATGAAGCAATCTCCTTTGTTGAAGCTGGACCAGGACAAATCCACCTCTGTTGCTCTGATGGCCCTGCGACCCTTTACGTGAAGCAGGCGCTTCACGCTCATGTCATTGGTGACCACGTGCTTGAAGCCAGACGCCACGCCTCCTTTCTGCAATAAAAAAGCGACATCAGAACGGCCGTAAACACGGCTGAAATGTTTGAAACCCTGGAAACATGGTCACAGCTTTGGCTGACAGAAAAAAAAAAAAACCTTTGAAGATATTTTTTGGTTAGCTTAAAATAAATGAATGCTTTCTATTCCTCTCTAGTTGTAACAACATATTTAAAGCAACTCACACTAAACTACACATTAACGTATATCTAGGGTTGCATGCCTTGCCCAGAAGCAAACTGACATGCAGCAGAAAGCTGGAATAGAACTAGAAATCTCTGGATTGTAAGACTCTGAGACTTCCTGATTGGAGCATCCAGAGTTCATCTTTGCATAATGTCTGTATATCATCTTTCTGGGTCGTCTCTGATGCGCTCATCTCTAGAGCCCAGCCTTCGCTGGAATCTGGGGGATTTAGATATTTAGATATAAGCACTGAAACAGTCTTTAAGGAGGATCATTCTGTAGGGGCGGAGCCAGAAGGGGGACCAGGCATTGACCACCCCTATGGCCAGCCCTACCAGGTGATTTGTTGTTCCTATAGGTGTATCCTTCATCTCTATAACAAGCAGTTCCCTTCTGAACCACAGGGTGGCAGTAATGAGAGGCCCAGTCTCATTCCTCTCACTTGGTTCCACACCAAGAAGTTCCCTCCACAGTGAAGTCCACTAAATGAGTGAAGTGCAAGTGAAGATTTTCTCCCTAAGAAATGGGACACCACTGCACTGCAAAAAAATAAAATCTAAATAAGTATTTTTTCTTAAAATAAGTGCATTTTTTCTTGAATTAAGGATTGAAGTGAGACACTTTGCCAATGGAACAAGACAATTTACAGTTTAAACAAGAAAAAAACAATTGCATTGTCTTATTTCAAACGCATAATATCTAAATACCTTATTTCAAGAGTAAAAATACTCATTCCATTGACAAATCATCTCATTTACCTGCTGGAATTAAGGGTAAATACACTTAATTTAAGACATTTGTAGACATTTTGAGATCATTTTTGCAGTGTAGTTGCAAAATTATACCCCAGCCCAGTAGATGGCGGTAATACATTGCCTGTACAAATCAGTGATGTGTTCACCTACATCATGCATAAACACAGTGTGAGTCACAAGGGGTGTGCAAAATAATCGTCATGATGATGCATCGTGATTCTAATTTTCGTGATCTACTGCATCGATTCTTTACGGAGCCCCTCTGATGACATGGTAAAAAATTTTTTTTAATTGTGGCCACAAAGTAGTATTTCGTGCGCACGAAGTAGTATTTCATGCGCACGCAATAAGTATAACGTGCGCACGAAATACTATTTCGTGGCCACGCAATAAGTTTAATGTGCGCACGAAATACTTATTAATAATATTAATATCATTCATGGACAACTGGGTAAGCAAATCGAGCGCG